CATGGATAAATATAACTGAGTATCATCAGCGTAACAATGGAAATCTATCCCATGCTGTTTAATAACTTTACCTAATGGGAGCATACAGTATATAAAGTAAAGAGGATTGGTCCAAGCACTGAACCCTGAGGAACTCCATGAATAACTCTGGTGTGAGCAGAAGATTCATTAATAACTTTAAAAAAACTGAAATCTATCAGTTAAATAAGACTCAAAGCATTTTAGAGCTGTTCACTAAATTGCCAGAATATTGACCAATTTATTTATTAAAATCCTTACTTTCTTTGAATGTAAAACATACTGATTAAAATTGTGACTCATTGCTAATTACAATCCCAATTCCAACAAAGTTTGGCCATTGTGTAAAACACAATATTTAGTGTCCATGGTTTGTCTTGTTTGAAAGGTACACACAGGTTTTGGAGCAACATTTGCCATTCAAGCCACATATTTTTCAGGGACGTCCCCACTTATTTCAGCAAGACAATGCCAAACAACATTCTGTATGTGGTACAATGTGGCTTTGTAGTAAAACAGTGCAGGTACTACACTGGCCTGCCTGCAGCCCAGACCAGTCTCCTATTGAAAATGTGTGACGCATCATGAAGCGTAAAATACAACAACGGAGACCCTGAACTGTTGAGCAACTAAAGTTGTATGTTAAGCAAGAATGAGAAAGAATTCCATTTATAAACCTTCAGCAATCAGTGTCCTCAGTTAGTTTTAAAATGCTTTTTGAGCGTTTTTCAGTTTCATTTTCAATTCTTTATTCATTTCATTAACACAAAACAAATAATTTTATATAGAATATACAATAAAAAGAAAAAATGAGAGAAAAAAATATATATGTAACTCAAACTCACAAATAAAATGAAATGAAAGGCAGCAGAGATGACAAAAATCTTATAATACAGCGGGTAAAATATGTATTGAACACGTCACCATTTTTCTCAGTAAATATATTACTAGAGGTGCTAATGACATGAAATTTTCACCAGATGTT